GCATGTTCAATGTAACATGTTTAATAGTTTCCCAAGGATCTCATTAATGTTCATCTGGGTTTTTTTTATTCTTTTATCTTTCTGTTAGCTGGTTGGATAATTTCCTTTGATCTATCTTCAGTTTTGCAAATTCTTAACTTCTGCTAGCTCAGATATGCTTTTGAACCTCTCTAGTAAATTACCCGTATAAATTATTTTACTTGTAAAACTCCAAATAATCTTATTGGTTTATATATAATCAATTTATTTACTCATATTATTTATTTTATGAGTCATGCAATTGTAACTTTAAAATTCTTTAGATATAATTTCTATTCATTTTTTAAATTTTTTTATTTACTTTTATTTATTTTTTATTATTTATGGCCCCCTACCCTCTTCCACCTTCCCCCCACCCCCACCCCTGCAATCACTGCACTGTTGTCCATGTCCATGTAGTTTTTATTAGTTTTAAAAACATGCTTATAATACCTGTTTTGAAGTCCTTTTCTACTAAGTCCAACATCTTAGTCCCCTCAGAGAGAGTTTCTATTGCAAGTTTTTCTTTTTTCCTATGTATAGAGGCACAGTTATAAGGCACACTTTCTCATTTTGCTGATGCATTATTGAAAAATTGGCATTGTAGAACATATATTATAGCAACTTTGGATTCCATTCCCACCTTGTGGATGTTGTGGTGGCTAGATTTCTGTTGGTTTGTTTGTTTAGTGACTTACCTGGACTCATTCTGGAGTGTGTGTTTCCCCCTCAGTGTGCATGTGGGTGCTGTCATCTTGTTGCCTAGAGCTTGGAATTCCATCCCTACATCTTGTTACTTCCCTGCAATAACAAGGTAGCATTTGTCCCTATCCCAACTAGAGAATATGGGGAGTTTTATGGAAAAGATGAAGCAAGATAAAGGGATTCACTAAATTTGTATATAATGTCCTGGCAAACATCTAAGAGATGCATGTTTGAAAATTGCCAGAATCAACACAAGCAAAAGGTTTGAGAGGTGAACTACAATAAGAATACCAAACAGGCTTCAAGTTTGGCCTGTGGGAAGCACACAAGTGAGGGAGACCAGACTAGCATGCAAAGGCTTTGAAAGCTAAATTCATAGATGAGCTACTGCCCCACCAACAGTAAACCAGAGTCTATCAACCAACACAGGTTGATCACTTACTAAAATGGAAAATTTTAAAAGGAAGCATGTCAAAAAATACCCAAAATATCTGAGATACAGTATAAAATAGCATAATTGCATTCTTTCTTGTGGACCCATACTTTTGCCTTGTAGCTGTTCCCAGCTAGAAATCTTCTCTCCAATAATTTCTGCTGCATATATTCAGTTTTAATTTCTTATGATTCAGAAAGACTTGTGGGAATAGAAGTCATAGCCTGGGGGTCACTTCAGTGTATGCAAATATCTACAAAATAGAACCTTTGTGGTTTACAAATGGTCCATTGCAGAGACTCAGTGCACCCTGAGGCAAGTGTAGAATTGCACATGGTTGGTCAGTCCTGGGAGTGCAGTGTACTGAGTGACTCATGAAGAATAATGTGTACAGAAGGGAACTTTTGTCCTGGGAAGATGGGTGTGATCCACTTTTTAGAAATACATGCCAAGGGTTAAGGGTAGGAATCTAGAGAGTGATCAATTTACCCTAGGTGAGAAATTTCTCCTGAGATGTCCACTTTTGGATGTAAACACAACTATCCTCCTTAGAAGTCATATAAATGAACTCAAGTACCCCTTCAGTTGCCTTGATCCTCTATAATAAAAAGTAGGCATGTAACATGGGATTAAGGAGTATGGTGGTGTTTTCATCAGCTCGAGCTACTATAATAAAATGGTATAAACTGGGTGGCTTAAACAACAGGCATTTATTTCTCACAGCTCTGTAAGCTGGAAAGTCCAAAATCAAGGTGGCAGTAGATTTGGTATCTGGTAAAGACCCACTTCCTGGTTTGCACTGCTTGTTGCTGTATCCTGGAGGAGTGAAAGAGAAAGCAAGCTCTCTGGTCTCTTTTAATAAATCCCATCATGTGTACCCACCTTTATGACCTCCTAAGCCTATTTACCTCCCAAAGTTCCCGTCTTATTAAGATAATATCATACTAAGATAATACATTTCTTCAAAAATTAATGATAGGGTATTCATTACAATTACACTAAAATGTAGACGTTTTTGGAGTTTTCCAGTCAATGATCATAGTATAATCCCAATTTATTTAAATCTTCTTGGTTTCTTTTAGCAAAATTTTATAGTAACCAGATATAGGTCTTGCAAATATATTGGTAACATTCCCACTAACTGTTTTGTGGTTTTGATGTTGTTGTATACACTATTTTTTTTTTTTATTTGTTATTACTGAATTATAGACATTCTGGTAGGTATGTAGTGGTATCTCTTGTGGGTTTTGTTTGCATTTTTCCAATCTCTCATTAGTTGATAATTTTATATATGCTTATTTACCATATGCATAACTTCTTTGGTAAAGTAGTTGTTCAATATTTGCAAATTTTGTACTTGATTATTTTCTGGTTGAAATTGGAGTTGATTATATATTCAGGATATAGTCCCTTATTAGATATGTGATTCCCACCCCCACCCCCACCCTCCCCCCCCACCCCGAATTTGTGGCTTGTTTTTCAGTCTCTTAGCAGTGCTCTTAAAAGAACATAAAAGTGTGTGTGGGTTTTTTTTTAATTTAATGAAGTCAAATGTATCAACATTTTCTTTTTTTGCCTTGGTGATTGTGGCTCAGGGTGTTTTGTGAGGTTGCAACCAAGGTGAAAATCTGAACTATAGTCATCTCGAGACTCAACTGCGGGAGGATCTTCTAGCTAACTTACTTGGCTCTTGGTAGACTTGGTTTTTGCCTTGAGAGCCACTTCACCCACCTCATTACATGGCATCTGGCTTCCCAAGAGAGAAAAGGGGTTTGCCCAAGAAGGAAGATACCATCTTTATAACTAATCAGAAAAAGGCAGCCCATCACTCTACCACATTTTATTCCCCAGAACTGAGTCATTAAATCCAGTACACACTTAAATGGAAGGATTTACACAAAGTATCAATACCAAGAGACAGAAATAATTGGAGGATATCTTACCACATTCCATTATCTGGCATGTCAAATTCACACTTCCACATGAAAAATGCTCTCACCCCCCTGCATGGTCCCCCTAAATTCTCATCTTGTTAAAGTGTAAGCTCAAAAATCTAGAATCTCATCATCTAGATCAGTTCCGGGCATGGATGAAGCTCCTCTGGTATAGTTCCTGTTGACATAAGAAGATCCAAACCTGTAGAGATGATTTTTTTTTTATTCTTTATTGATTTTAGAGAGAGAGGAAGAAAGAGGGAGAGATAGAAACATCAATGAGCCAGAACATCGATTGGCCGCCTCCTGCATATCCCCCCTCTGGGGATTTGGCCCACAACCTGGGAATGTGCCCTAACCAGGAATTGAATCAACTGACAACCTTTTGGTTCATGGGTTGATGCTCAACCACTGAAACAACACTGGCTGGGCCTGTAGAGAATTTTTATAAAAATTTATTTGAGCCAAGCAGAGGATACACCTGGAAGCAAGATCTCAACAGACTGAAATAAAGGTTTCTGAGAAATAACAGTTTGCAGCTTCTTTTATGCATTTGAGATTAAAGAGGAAATTCAGGAGAATTATCTGAAGGTGGGGGAAAGCAAGACAATGATCGTATTATAGGGTAGTTAAAATTGCGTGCTTTTTTGCCTGCTTTAGGAGGGGTCTGAAAGGGGTCATTTCAAAGGTGTGTTAACCAAATGCACAGAAACGATGGACAGGGTTTGGCTTAAGGCAAAGATAAACATTTTAGTAAAGAAGTTATATGCCTGGGGCAAGACTACCCACCATAACCTGCCTGGTTAGGAGTTTATGATCAGATCTTTCAGCAGAGTGAGAAGGCAAGTATCTGAACTGATCAGCTCACCCCAAATGAGGAATTTCTCATTGGGGATGCCACTCTGGGATGTAAGCACAATTATTATCCTTAGTAGTCTTATAAATGAACTCAAATATAATTTGGTTGTCTAATCCTCTGTAATGAGGATTGAAGAGTATTTATGTGAATCCAGGGTCATACTATTTCACCAGGATTTACTGGATTCCAGAAACTCCATTCTTTTGGCCAGGGATTTTTGTTGTTGTTGTTGTTGTTTTATGTCGTATTTTGGTGGAAACATGGATGTCGGAAGAATTGGTGTGTTTACCTGATGATGATGATTCATGAAAAAGCATAGTCTCGCTGACATGACAAAGACCATGGAATTTAGCACAGCACGCAGAGGGAAAGGGAGACACAATTCAGGAAACCCCTATTGTGAAGGGATGCAAGAGTTTACCCTCAATCTCCTGAGAAGTGATCAGAGTTTATTTCTCCTAAGATTCCCCAATGCAAAGACGAATCCTGCGGGCTGTAGGGATGGGGGCCCCACGCTTCCCTCTTTGCAGAGGCCACTAGTCCTTTGCCTGGCTGACTAGACTCACGAATACTTCCTACTTCTTCTGAAAGGTCCGCCTCTCGCTTTAGCAGCCGAGTTCCATAGGCCGCCCAGGTTGCGCACGGCACTCCCACTGGCGGCGGCTGCTGTCCGTCAAGCATCCTATTTCTGCCCAGACTCCACCCTTATCCCCTGGCTTTCCTGGTGGATAAGGGAGGGTGGAGTTGCCTCACTTCTGGGAGAGCAAGTCTATTGGCCAGGCACACTATCTATGGTTATTTAGGTTGTGAACGTCCTCGGGTGAAAAGAGGAATCGGCTGGAGCCTTCGATTGGGTCCGGGACAATGTCAGTCAAGGAATGGGCGCGTGCAATCGCAATCCAACGCACAGAATTGGTAGGAGGCGGATACATCCGGAGGGAAGCCGGCATCTCTTGATTGGGCCATACGGGAGGCAGTGCCGCCCTCGTACTCCGGATTGGGCCACACGTGAGCCGCGCCCCCCTCACGCCAACAGCCTTCAGGACCAGAAGTGGACCCGGCTCGCCTGGGGTAGCGGGGTAGCCGCGCGTGCCAGTCCGGTGGAAAAGAGTGCCCAGGGGGCTAGCTGGGTCCCCAGCCAGATCCGACGTCGACCCGGGAGTGGTGCGCTGCATCTCAACGGTGAGCGAAGACCAGTGGGCGGCGGGAGAGGGGTCTGGCTCCGCGGGCCGCAAAGGAAGCTCCGCTCCTGCAAGTTCCTTCGGAGCGTCGTCGCACCCGGAAGTGTGGCAAGACGTCAGTCGCACCCGGAAGTGTAATGCTGCCGAGGCTACGGGAAGTAATGGTACCCGGCCAATCGAGATGCCGGGTTAAAACAGGTGTCTATCTGGGTGTCTTTATTTCCTGAGACTCGGTAGATCTTTCCTTTTCGGCAGGTGTTGGAGGATGCAAGTATTTGATCATCTTTTTAAATGTTTCATCCTGTTGAAAACTGAGCACTAGAAGGGTGCACAAGAGGGCTGAGCTCAGTAAGGCTTTTAAGAAGTTTCTTTTGCTGCCCGTCACCCTCAATTCCCCTTTCGCACAGGGATGTGCAGATGGAGGCCGGAGGAGACACTGCTGCCCCAGCCCCCGGGGACGCAGAGGACTTGGAGGACACGCGGTTCCCCAGTGAGGAGGCTGCAGACGGTGGAGGGGTTCATGAGGACCCGACAGATTTCGGAGACCGGGACCAGGAGGAAACAGGTATGCTTTTTCCTCACTAGGGCCTTGGGAAGAATTTCTGGGGTGTGTCATTGTTGGGGGCGGTCAATGAGGGATCAGTAAAGAGTCTTTTGGGTCTAACAGGGTTGCATGCGGTCCGTAGGAGGTCATTGTTGACTCACATTGTAGTTTAAGTCATCGAGGAATGAAAAGGAAATCATTGGGCACCAGTGAATGTTCACTGGGGACTTGGAGTGAATTTAGGTGTTTGTAGCAAAAAAAGATTTGTTGGGGTTAAAGAGGGGCATTTGAGGATTTAGGATTTTTAGGTCAATGACTGACCAAAAGAAAGTCAATAGGGTCAAAGGTGGACTTTAGAAATCAGGGTCTTTTGGGGCTAGGATGTTATTTAAGTCATTGAGGTGGAGAGGGGGATCAATGGGAGCTAATGGGCACTCAGTATTTACATCATTGAGGAGAAAATGGTGAGTTGTTGGAGGGAGTATTTTAAGGAACCAGATGTTGGTGAATGTTAATGGTGATTACTGGTGGGGAGGGAGTGAACATCAATGAGATTATTTGGAGAGTTAGAGGGTCCTTAGGAGAGTCTTTGAAGACCCAGGTGGATGTGTAAAGGTATTCTGTGGATAATCAATGAGAGTCATTGAGGGCATTGCTCATTGACCACTTTGGAGTTAGTGGATGTTGATGGGGTCATTGGGAAGGATCAGTGGACATCTTTAAGATTAAATCAGTGGACATCTCATAGTTGGGGGAGGATCTTTGAGAACTTGGGAATTATTGACAAGTAATGGTAGATATTAGGAGGAAGTAATTGGTAATTGGGGGCATGTGGAGTCATAGAATGTCAATGAGAGAATGAAGGAATATGAGATCATTGGGATTTTATGGGAAAATTGTTGAGACAGTTGCCAATGGATAATAATGGTTGTCATTAGGGGATCAATGGACATTGACTGGATTAAATGGGAGGGGTGTCAGGGGAGTCATAGGGGGCATTGAAATCATGGGTTTCATTGATGATTGTTAATGGGGAAGGGCAGTGAAGGTCATTATTAAAGTCCTGTGTGTTAGTTATATTATGATGGTTATTGTAGGGAGGGGAGTGGATACCACTGAAAATAACGGAGGGTCAGGAGAGTGAGTGGAGGTTGTTGAAGTCCTAGTTGTTAGTGGAGATTAATAGTGATCACTGGGGAGAAGGGAGAATGGAATAAAAGAGAGTCATAGGAGGACGTCTTGGATGTTAGTGGAGGTTAATAGTGGTCATGGTGGTGATGGAATGAACATGGAGTAGAATAGATTATGGCTCAGGGCTGTCATTGAAGGTCATTGAAGATCCAGGTATTAGTGATGTTAATGTTAATTAGAGAAGTCAGTGACCAAAATATTAATAGATGTAATGGTGGCCACTACATATATTGAGAGGTGAATAGATACCAACAGAATAATGAGGGGTCAGAGGTTATAAATGGGGGATCAGTGAAGATGAGTGTTATTCAGGGGCAGTAGGGTGCTTTGAAGACTCGGAAATGGCAGTTATTGAAAGGGGAATAACTGGTCTCTAGGAACATAGAGCGTTCAATTATGACAATGAGAGATCGGACTAACAGGGTTTTAAGGGGATCTTGTGGATGTAATTGAGGGGCAGAGGAGGTCTGTGTCAGTATCAGTGGTCATTGGCAGGGGGACTGGTAGACATTTGGTGGGTCCTTGGGCACATGGGGTTAATAGGAGTCCACAAGCAGATGACCCACCAGGGGCTCCTTTTCAGGATCTGAGACCAAGGACCAGCCACCCACCCTGCTGTCACCTCTGCCCCAGTCAGAGTCCCCATCATGTACGTGTGGGCTCTGGGATCCTGCCTCTGAGAATAATCCCATGGGTGACCCTGAGAGTGGCTCTGGGGTCCAGGGCGGAGACCCCAGTGATGAGGACTGGCGCAGCAAGCGGAAGCATGTGTTTGTGCTGAGTGAGGCAGGCAAGCCCATCTACTCAAGGTACGGTAGTGTGGAGGCGTTGTCGACTACCATGGGTGTGATGACAGCCCTCGTGTCCTTCGTGCAGAGTGCAGGGGATGCCATCCGTGCCATCTATGCTGGTGAGCAAAGGGGCAGGAGGTAGAACTGGGGGCAGTGACTGGGAATGTGAGTATGGCTGGCTGGGTGGCTGACTTCCTAGGTCTATCTGACTTCCTAGGACACTGTCCAGCCAGCCAGGTCCATGGGGGTCAGTGTATGTAGATGGCTCAAGGAGGGTGGGTGATGGCTGTTGTGTCCATCTGTCAGTTTGGCCTTCTGGGTTCTGAGCAATTAACTCACTGGGATGTACGTGGCTGGCTGGATACTTCCTTGTTTGTCTGACAGCATGATTTTGTGGGCTGTGTGGCTGAGTTGGGTGTCTTTCTGGCTGTGTCAGTCCTTGCTTCATCTTCCCCCACTTTATGTTGTGTGTCTAACCTGCTTCTTTGACCATCCCGTCATGTCTTTACAAGTGTTCGAACTCCCCCATATTGTCCTTACCCTAGTCTGAGTGTCCACAGAGTGACCGCCCAAGCTTGGGCCAGAGGTGTGTGTTCAGGAAAGGGCGGAAGAGCCTTACCTGACCCCCTCCAGTCACCACTGACTGGTCTCTACCCCCTGCCCACCCCTTCCCTCCCCTAGAGGACCACAAGCTGGTGTTCCTACAGCAGGGCCCACTGCTGCTGGTGGCTGTGTCAAGGACTCCTCAGTCAGCAGCCCAGCTGCGGGGGGAGCTGCTAGCTGTGCACGCACAGATCGTGAGCACACTGACGCGCGCTAGCGTGGCCCGCATCTTCGCCCGTAAGCAGAACTACGACCTCCGCCGCCTGCTGGCTGGCTCGGAGCGCACACTCGACCGGCTTCTGGACAGTGTGGAGCGGGACCCAGGGGCCCTGCTCCTGGGTGCTGTGCGCTGTGTGCCCCTCGCTCGCCCACTGCGGGAAGCACTGGGGGCACTGCTCCGACGTTGCACAGCACCTGGCCTGGCACTGTCCGTGCTGGCGGTGGGTGGTCAACTGGTGACGGCAGCCCAGGAGCGGACTGTGCTGGCTGAGTGCCGGCTGGACCCAGCCGACCTGCAGTTGCTGCTCAACTGGGTCGGTGCACCCGCCTTTGCAGCAGGGGAGGCATGGGCACCTGTGTGCCTGCCCCGCTTCAACCCAGATGGTTTCTTCTACGCCTATGTGGCCCGCCTGGACGCCATGCCTGTCTGCCTGCTGCTGCTTGGCACCGACCCTGAGGCCTTCCATGACATGGCCACCTGCCGGCGCCTGGTGGAAGATGGCATGCACACCCTTGGTGTCATGCGTACCCTTGGGGAGGCTGCCAGCTTCTCTAATGCCCCATCAGCCAGTGCCCCTTCCTATAGTGTGCAGGCTGTGGGGGCACCTGGCCTCCGGCACTTCCTCTATAAACCACTGGACATTCCAGACCAGCACCGCCAGCTGCCTCAGTTTACCAGGTGAGTCCTGACCCTGTGGGCAATTGGCCGGGTGGAAAGGCTTATCTAACTGAAAGGTTCAACATCTCATAGACATGATTTGAGAAAGAGAGCAAACTGTGCTCTAGAAAGATGGAACAGAAAGGGTGTCTAACTGATGAGGGAGGCTCAACTAGCAATCTCAAGGGATCCCTTATTCTAACGGAGACCAGGGCCCCGTACTCACGTAATCACATAGTGTGATGGGAAAGCTGGTCCTCTAACCATGGAGTCCTAACCATGTCCTCAAGTCTAATGGGGAATAATCCTTTAGACTTAATGAAACTCCCTAGACTGAGGGGAGATGAACCAGACAATAAAAGCCTAGACTGACCTTGTCCCCGCCTCCGTCCATCACGGCAGCCCTGAGCTTGAGGCTCCGTACAGCAGTGAGGACGAACGGCAGCGCCTGTCGGACCTATACCACCGCCTGCATGCGCGCCTCCATAGTACCTCCCGGCCTCTGCGCCTCATTTACCACGTGGCTGAGAAGGAGACGCTGCTGGCCTGGGTGAGTTGGGTAGAGGGCTCTGAAGGGGTTAATTCTCTGCTTCAATTCTTTTTTCCCTCCATAATGTCTCCCCCTGGTCGTAACAAACTCCATCCATCAACAAACGCCGTGCCTTTGTATGGATATGTATACTTTTGCCTTCAGCACCGTCCCTGCCATTACACGTGTCTTTGAAACCCATAAGGATCAATCACAGTGTCTACCAACCTCGTTCACCCCATCATTCTGTTTGCTGTTCCCCGATTAGCGACTAGTACAGTGTCTTTGACTTTCAAGAGGCCCCATTAACAACCATCACTGTGCCTGCTGATTTCCCATTAGGCTTGCCCATGTGTCTGTGGGCCCAGTTCAGCTTTGACGCCGAGTCCCTGCGCAGCACTCCTTGGACTCCACAGGCTTAGTCCTGTGCTGTGCCTTCTGCCTGGGATATCCTTCCCTGGGGTCTTCCCACGGCTTCTGCCTCACTTTCTGCGGGTCTATTAAAAGTCAGCTAATCTGGGAGTTTGGTCAAGGTGACCCCACTGGAAATAGCACCTCGCCCCAGGCTCTGCCATTTAGTGCACATTTATTAAATAATTTATTAGGTGCCTATTGTGTATCAGGCATTGTTCTGGGCCAAGGACTTTTTTATTTTTAATTTAAAAAAAAATTTTCTTTATTGATTTTAGAGAGAGGAAGGGAGAGGGAGAGATTGAAACATCCATGAGAGAGAACATCGATTAGCTGCCTCATGCCCCCAACCTCCCTACCCCTCCCACGGGGGATTTGGCCCACAACCTGGGCATATGCCCTGACCAGGAATCGAACCGGCGACCTCTTGGTGCATGGTTGATGCCCAACCACTAAGACACACCAGCTGGGCTATTTTTAATTTTTTCAACTTTACTTTTCAAGCAATTTTAGATTTATAAAAAAGTTGAAAAATAGTGCAAAGAATGACTACAAATAGTTCTGTCACCTAGTTTCTCCAGATGTTCACCATAGTAACTTACCAAAATCAGGGAATTAACATCAGTATAATAACATCTAATGCACAGACTTCATTCAGATTTCACCAGTTGTCCCAGTAATGTTTTTTGTTTTTGTTTTTGTTTTTTTTATCCTCACCCGAGGACATTTTTCAATATTTTGTTCAGATAGAGTGAGAGGGAGAGAGAGAGAGAGAAACATCGACGTGAGAGCGACACATCGAGTGGTTGCCACCCACATGACCCAACCAGGGCTGGGGACAAACTGCAACCAAGGTACGTGCCCTTAGCGGGAACCGAACCCGGGTCTCTCCGGACCGCAGGCCAACGCTCTAACCGCTGAGCCAAACCGGCCAGGGCCCCAGTAATGTTTTTTACTGGCCCAGAATCTAGTGCAGGATCACATGTTGGTTTTATTCTGGAACAGTTCCTCAGTCTTTTTTGTCTTTCATGACCTTGGCACTTTTAAAGAGTACCCGCCAATTAGTTTGTAGAATGTCCCTCGACTTAGGTTTTTCTGTTATTTTATCATGACTAAGTTGGGGTCATGTATTTTTGGAAAGCATATTACAGAAGTGATGATGTGCCCTTTTCTGCATCCTATCAGGAGGCCCACAATGTCAGTTTGTCCTATTGTTGATGATATTAACCTTGATCACTTAATTAAGGTGGTGTCTGTCAGATTTATCCACTATAAAGTTAGTATTTTCCCCCTTTGTAATTAGTAAATAGCATGAGGTGATTATGTTAGTGTTCTGTTTTTCATCATACTTTCATCTACTAATTTTAAAATCCATTAATGATTCTTGCCTGCAAGAGTTATTACTCTGGTATTTACTAGACGGTGATTTTTCTAACCCTATCGTTTCTTCTACACTTATTGTTTGAGATTTTATTGTCTTGGAGAATTTTTTCTTCTCCTGTATTTGTTCGTTGAATTTGTAATTTTATATCCGTATGGTCTCATGGATTTTTCTTTAATTCAGTGGGCTAAAAGCCTTTTTCTCTAATTTATTTTTCTTGTCTACTTTTATTTTGTTGCTCAAATAGTCTCTGATATAGCCAGTGGGAGCTGTGATTTAGGCACGCTGGCCCCTGTGTCATTTTGACATGTCCTCATCGCTGCCAGAATACTTCTTTCTGGCACAAGATGTTCCTGCTCATCTTGTACTTTCTATGTCAGTTCATTTGTCCAAGTAGTCCTTGTACCTTTTAGTGAAGAGGAAGTGTGGGGAGAGCAGGGAGAGGTGGTGTGGAAAGATACTGGTGATCTGGTCATGTTAAGTCTCTCATGTTGTCGTAAGGATTAAATTGGATTAACCCTCTTATTACACTCAGAGTACAGATGATAAAGACATAGGTATGTGGAGCTCAGAACATGACTTTGTATACATCATTTGCTCATTGAAAAGCAGTGTTGTTATACCCATTCTACAGGTAAGCCACCTGAGGTCCACACATAATAGCTAGCATCACCCAAGTGAAGTCACTAGATCGAAATGATCCTTTGGCTCAACTGAGAACCCCTGGCCTACCCATGACACAATACCAGCTTACCTGCTTTAGCCCAGTGACTAGGCAGCCCCAGATGGGAGCTGCCACCAGGTACATCTTCCAGACAGGAGACAGGCATGGGGCTAGGGTTGGATGGACAGGAGTGGGCATGACCAGCTCTAGCCCAACGGACTCTGTCTCCTCTCAAACCCACAGGTGACTTCCAAATTTGAGCTCTATACCTGCCTCAGCCCCCTGGTGACCAAGGCAGGTGCCATCTTGGTAGTGACCAAACTCCTGCGCTGGGTGAAGAAAGAGGAGGATCGGCTCTTCATTCGTTACCCACCCAAGTACTCCACACCCCCAGCACCCTCATCTGCCTCTACGGACCAAGCATCCCATAATGGCCTATTCACTGGACCTTGAGACACAGAACTCCTGGATTGGGCAGTACTGGGAACGGCAAACTTTGGCTTTTACCTTCTGTCTCCACCCTAGAAATGGGGCAGGTGGGAGAGAAAGGTGGGGTGGTTGATAGTGTCTGTGGCTGGTTTCTCTCCCTGGGCAATGGGGCAAGATCTGAGGGCTTGCTTGCCCATGAATGAGAGATGGGGGGCAGCATGATTGCACACAGGTGAGCTGACTACTTCCCCAGCCCCTCATGCATTTCCACCTCTGGAGAAATCCTTAGGCCTCTTCCCTTCCCTCTGTCTCACTTCCTCCACTTGGATGATTTTCCAGCCTCTGTCAGGGGCTTTCTCCTGCAATCCTGGGCAACACACCCTCCATCCTCCATCTGGAGTCGGCTTCCTCAGTGGGCTCTTAGCCTCGAGTCTCCAGGGCTGGCCAGTCTGTTTTGGTGGTCCATGGGGGGATTCTGGAATTGGGAATGCAGGGCCAGCCTGTGCTGGAACTGGCCTGAGGATACTTAAAAAAAAAAAAAAAAAGAAGGAAAAGGTCTAAACTATTCCCCACAAGGACATTCCTTTGCCCTTCATGTACTTCATCTTTACCCCGTCAAAAATGACCCATCAATGTTGGCTGCTGCTAATGTTAATGAGAAAGGCGGCCCCCACGGTGTACCTGTCTGTGTAACCCAGGGCAAAGCCCCTGTCTGCACGTGGTAGCTGAGTTCCAGAGTTGATACAAAGGAGGTGCACTTAGCTTCCAAGGCTTGTTCTGCTCATTCATGAAATGGAGATAACTAACTTCTCACTGGTTGTTAAGTGAGGATTTGTGAACGATAAGGGACTCAAACTCTTGTGTAACACAGCATAACACATGCACATTTGTCCCAGGCTCATAACCTGCACTACACAAGCAGCAACCTGGAGAGGGAGAGACCTCCCTAGAGTTGGTAAAAGTACTCACAACACTCATTCCCCAACCCACTAAGACCATAGTTCTGCCCTTGTTTTCTCTAAACTGGAGTTCCAGGCACAAGTCGTAACTGAGTGCTAGGCTGGCCGAAACCCCATTGCTGTCATTCTGGTCAGTTGAGCAGGCACGCCCTGTGCGCATGCGCACTGCAGAGTCCTGCTCTCGCCTGGTTTTTTTTCCCCAACCGGTTGTCAAAAACGCATGCGCCAAATTTCTGCGTTGGAAAATGGCGGCGAAGGGGGAGCCGCTGGAAGTCTTGGAGGAGGCTGAGGAGGGTGAAGGTAATCAGGGTGAGCTGGCCTCTGTCCCATTCTGATAAAGATATCGATAGCAGTACTTCAACAGCAAAAAAATTAAGCCTTTGATAAAGTACTCTTTAGTAATGGGAAGGTGAATAACATGCATATTCTCACCTAGATTCACTCTTGTCAGCTTTATTGGACATACTGCCTAGTATTTTAAAGTAAACAATGCTTCAGTATACATCTTGTCAACGAATGGAGGTGGACCTCACAAAAAACACTCTGCTACTGCCACGTCTGAGAAAATGAACAATAATTCCCCAATATCGTGACACCCAGCACAGTCACACTGGCCTCTAATTGGCGACGGCCACGCCCACAGACAGCTCTTCTCCGGGCTTGTGATACTGACACCCACACCCCAGTGAGAGGGGCGAAGCTGCCTACAGACAAGTGGGAAATGCAGTCTAGACAAGCAAACCTCCCGACAGTGATCCGCTACAGTGCCACTAGCATTTTTTTTAACAAGGAATTTTCAAAACGTACCAAAAGAGAAAATAGCATGGTGAATGCTCATGTACCCATCACTGTTCAACAGCTGTCAAGGTTTCGCCCTTTCATCTATACCCCCTTTCTGCAGTCTTCAGACCGCTATATTAATAAACATGATTGCATTTTATCCGGACCTATCTATGCAGACATCAATAATAGTGATTATTGTTTATTGTCCTGGGATGTGAGCTCCATGAGAACCATTTATTGCTGTTCCCCCAGTGCCCAAACTGCCTGCTTGGCATATAGTAGGTGCTCAATAATTTTGTTTATTATATGAATAATGAAATAACTAACATGGGGAGCTCTCTTAGATTAGGGCCACACACTGAATGCCAGCTTTCAACAAAGGTCGGACAAAGATGACACATGCAAATAGATCTCATTTATTAAGCACTTACTATATCTGCCAGAGTGCTAAAAACCTTTTAGTATCAATCTTTCAAATTTGTCAAAATTGAAGTTATTAACTTGATCAGCAAGGGAGAAATTTTAAAAGCATATTAAGTTACCATTCCTAACCACTAAATTGGCTTTATAAAGGGAGGGATAATGTCTAATATTGATTACTCTGAGGGAAAAGGTCATCACTTGTCTCACTTGAAGAGCTGACTAGTAAAGGCTTTGCTAGAGGCAGTTGACAGAACATTTTTAGCATCCTAAAGTGCTATTTCATATCTTCAGTCACTGCTTAGTAATCAGGAGAATTCAGAGATGTGCGGACCAGAAGTCATCAGAATGTTATTGATGGAAGCAAAACACAAGGAGCAATTATGGAAGTGGCTAAACGGGTATAATGCATATTGTGCAATGCCTCTGTGGTGGACCTTAATTTTTTAAGCTTCAGGAAAAAATAATTAAATTCCAATTTAATTTAAAGTAGTTAAAAAATAATTTTAAAAGGATAAGGTCATGATTTATTGACACAGAATGAACTCCAAAAAGATATTTTTATGAGGAAAAAAGCAAGTTTGAATTTTGAAAATAAAGTAAGGGCAATGTCAACTGTAGCCCTTCGTGGATTGCACACAAAAAAATCTGAAGGTGAAAGGCTCAACTGGTGACTCTTAACAAGGGACTTGGGTCTTGGGGACTGTGCAAGTGGGTGCATTTTTGTTTGTTTTATTTTTCTTTTAGGAAAATGTAAGTAGTACTATATAATTTTAAAGTATGAGAAAAAATTTGAATGGCATCCGGGGGTCATATATTAATATTGATTAATATTAACATCTTTGTTTGGGTGGTTATACTGTATACCTGGTAGGTTCCCCTTGTATAGAGGAAATGTACACTAGACATTAAGGAATAATGGGCCATGATGCCTGCAATTTATGGTACAGAAATGCTCGTGAATGGGAAATCTGATACAAGGGCAAATAGGAGCATTGTAGTCAATTTCTACAACTTTTATGTACATCTGAAGTCATTTCAAAATAAAATGTTTAAAAGGGGCTCATGCGCTATCGGCTGTTTTGTAACATGGATTTTTTTAACTTTTATCAAGATGTTAGTTGGATCATTTAAAAGATTTACTCATCAGCCATGATCTCACCCTGTTTCTAGGACTAGAAATGCAGGGGAGAGGAAAAACAGAGATGGAGCTTTCACAGATACAGTTGCAAAAGACAGCTATAAAAGACGTGGGGACAGTCGGGGAAATCATATGTTCTGGGTACTAGATGATATTAATGATCTAATGATTGGTGATTATTAGTATTGGTGTGATTATAGAATTGGAGTCATCTAAGAAAATGTCTTCAGTTAGTGAGACAAGTATCTGGGGATGAAATGTCATGAAGCCTGGGGCTTGCTTGAAAATACTTCACAGGAAAAAAATAGCTGAAGCAGTTATTAATGGTTGTCAGATCTGGGTGATGAGTATATCAGTCCATCACAGTATTCTACTTTCGTATGCATTTGGAAATTTCCATAATGAAATATTTTTTAAAAAATAACAAATACCTCTCCATACTATTAAAGTAGCATTCATTTTTTTGTTTCATTTCCAAACATTAAGAGTATTTAAAGATGTTTAACGTCTCAGGAGGATACATATCAGCCTATTAATATCAGAGAAAGGCAGTGAGATTTGGGGCCAAGGGGAGGTTTCATTTTTAACTTCACATGTTGTATCATGTTTGAATGTTTTTAGAATGCTACTTAGATAAGAAAGTAAAAAAGCAATGCATGAAATACATGTTACTAAAAGAGCTGAGTGTCTACACCAAACTGTTGGCAGTGGTTACTTCTGGAAAGGGGAGTGACTTGGGGAAGGGTCTGTTGGTGAGGGGAGAATTTTACTTTTTACCAAGTTGTTTAAAAATTCAAACGCAAAATTGAATCAATGCATACTAATATGTAAAAGGTTTCAGGCAAGACAAATATGTAAAGAAAGTGAACATACCACCAAGTATTTCAATCAAATTTAATAAACTCGGGTTAAGAACCCCTACTTTTCAACATGATTTTTAATGGCTGCAAAGAATTTCATCCTACAAATATGCTATAATCAGCTAAGGCATCTTTAGGTTGCTTCCACTTTTTTAAGATTAAAACAATGAAACAATGAATATCTTGCCCATCTCTTTAATTATGTCCTTAAGATAGATTTCTAGAAGTAGAATTTCTGATCCAGAGGAGTTGAGTAAGTTTTGGATATTTACTACCAGAAAGTCTGAAATGAGCTACTGTTTTTGTCTATTTAGATTGGCAAAAATGAAAAAGGTTGAAAACATACTTGGCTGGTAAGAATATGGGAAAGGAGTCTCTTCTGGGCCTGCCAAAAACAGATGGAGGGCAATTCCATAATACCAGTCAAATTAAAAAATATACATGCCCTGCCCTGGCCAGGTGGCTCAGTTGGTTGGAGCATCATCCTGTACATCATAAGGTTTCGGGTTTGATTCCCCAAACAGGACACATACCCAGGTTGCGGGTTTGGTTCCTGGTCAGGGCACATATAGTAGGCAACCGATCGACGGTTCTCTCACATCCATGTTTCCCTCTCAAATCAATAAACATATCCTTGGGTAAGATACCCTTTGATCTAGCAGGTAGCCTTCTAGGAATTTATCCAGTAATACCCTCTCATTTTCACAAAGAAAAATGTACAAGGATAGTGTTGGTGTATTGGGTTGAATTGTGTTCCCACCAAAATTTCATGAACCCTGGAATCTCAAAATGTGACATTATTTGGAAAAAGGGTCTTTGTAGTTATAGCTAGTTAACAGATGAGATTATACTGGATTAGGGTAGGCCCTGATCTAGTGACTGGTGTTCTTATAAGAAGAGGGAAATTTGAACACAGAGAGATAGAGTACAAGGTGAAAATACAAACACACACAAAAGGAAGCCCCAGTGTGTGGTCCTTTGTTTTGGCAGCCCAAGAAAACTAATAAAGATGATCGCTATAACATTGTTTGTAACACAAAAGAAGGGAGACAACATAAGCATCTACTAGTAGGAAACTGCTCTTAAATTGAGGACCACTATGCAGCAACTAAAAAGAATGAAAAAATTACCAGTACGCATTGTCAACTGAAAAACACAAGCTGTGGAACATCATTTATGATGACACCACTCATACCTTAAGTGGAAATACACTTGTATATGAATTATCTCCAAGTATACACAAATAGCTTGTAACACTAGTGACTGCTGAAGAAAGGGAATTGAGGAACTTAGGGTGTGAGGGGAATGGACTTTTTACTGTATATTACTTTTTGGCTGTTGTGTGATTTGTGAGCTGCCTTTTATAGTCTCTGCCATTTTCCTCGGAGAGGGTTGGGTCACTGGGATTTGACCTTTTGTCATTGATTTCAAGAGGTTAAGATGTCAATTTTGTTCTGATTTTTTTGTTGTTGTTGTTTGTTTGTTTTGTTACTATAATCCTAAAAGTAACACAGGGTCATGTTAAAAATATATGGAAGTATGTAGTGAAAAGTGTGTTTTGATCAAGATCCAAATTAGGTCTATTTATTACAAATGATTGATATATATCTCAAGTCTCTCTTTTTGTTTTTAATGTTTTTATTGATTTTTCTTTTTTAGAGAGAGAGAAACATCAATGAAAGAGAAGTGTCAACATTGACAGGCTGCCTCCTGCATTCCCCCTACTGGGGATTGAGCCCACAACCCAGGCATGTGCCCTGACTAGGAATTGAACCAGCAGCCTCTTGGTGCATAGGTTGATGCTCAACCACTGAGCCACATCAGGCAGCTCAAATCTTTTTTTAACCAGTTTTCCATCTCCCTTTTTCTTCATTGCAATTTATTTGTTGAAGAAACAAGATTGTCTTGTGGAGTTTCCCAGAGTCTTATAATGCTGATCACATCCCCATGATATTATTTGACATGTTTCTCTGCCCCTTTGTATTTCCTTTGAATTGGTATTTAGAGATGGAAACCTCGGTAAGACCTTTTTCTTTTTCCTTTTTGGTTGGCAAGAATCCTTCATAGGTGGTGTTATGTTCTTCCATCAAGAATCTCATAATACCCAGCTGACCCATAAATTTTTAAGAATTTGCAAATTGTGTCCTGTAATGATTTTAAAGAAATTCATATGAAATCTTTCTGCCCTATTGCATTGGTTAGAACTTCATCCTGATTTTGAACAGCAGCAGCAAAAGTGCTTCCCCTTCTCTCCCGAGTTTCATTAAGGAATCTGTGGTATCCTTTGACCTCAGGGGGAAGCTGACCATTAGGGACCCTGATTCCTCCACACACACCTGAGTCTCAGGGACAAAGGACAGGGTTCTGCAGGCGCCCTGCCCTATCTGGAGTCCTAGCCCTCAGCCTACCCTTGGTTCCAGCCCAGGGTGTCTGCAGAACGCACTGGGACTTCCTTCCAGGCCCAGATAGGCCTGGACCTTTTCTCAGTCCCCTCTCACTCACTGGATCCTGTAATTCTGGTTTCCATCTCCACAGGGCAGACCAGGCCTTCGAAGACCGAGGACTTGCTGGCAATGGTGAAGAAGCTGCAGAAAGGTTGTGTGACTCCTTGTATCTGGGTTTGTTTATTTATTTTTATTTTTGTTTTTTAAGATTTTTAAAAATTGATTTTTAGAGAGAGAGGAAAGGAGAGGGAGAAAGAGAGAAACATTGATGTGAGAGCAGTACGCTGATTGGCTGCCTTCTGCACACCTACCAGGGGTTGATCCCACAACCCAGGCATGTTCCCTGACTGGGAATAGAATTAGCAACATTTTGGTGCATGGGATGATGCCCACTGAGCCACACTGGTCAGGGCTGTCTCTCTTTCTCTTTCTTTTTTTTTAAAACCTTTACCTGAGGATATGCTTAGAGAGAAAGGGAGAGAGAGAGAGAAACATCCATGTGAAAGAGAACCATCTATCAGTTGCCTTTCATACATACCCCAACAGAGGACAGAACCTGCAACCCAAGAATGTGCTCTAACTGGGAATTGAACCAGCAGCCTTTCAATGCTCAGGACAAAACTCAACCAGCTGAACCACTCTGGTTGGGCTTCCCTGGGGTTTTGAGTCAGGCATGTGGCTCAAACCCAGCTCCCTCAAATCACAACCTTCGGAAATTATCCCATGGCACTTTTTCCCTCTAGTACAATTTATTCTTTGAACCAAAAATACAGCTTCAAAATTTAAGAAGTATAAGGGGATGGAAAACCCTATACTCTTACACACATACTCTTACACACACACACACACACACACACACACACCAGCCATCTGTTTCCTGACCCACAAGCCAGCAGTGACTAGATTTTAAAAATACATTTGTGAGTGTGTATTCTTTTCCCACCTTTTTTATATATAAATGGCAATAGCTTTGTGCCTTGCTTTGCTTGTTGAGGGGGCCTGGGGGCCAGCCTACATCAGGGCCGGGCAAAGTGCTGGCTGGGTTTGAGGTTGGACACACCCCTTCCCCGGCCCATCTTTAGGTAAATTCTACAGTCCTTCTGTCTGTTCCTAGTAAAAGTGAGCCTCCCTTCCACCCGGCCCTGCGGCTGCCTGCAGAAGTGCACTGGGGCCCTGCCTAGGGGAAAACTAGTGCAGCTGCAGGGCTGGCCACCTCCAGTGAAACAGACCCGCGCATTTGTCAGTCTGGCTAGCACCTTGGAAGCACCCACTGTCCTAGAAGTTGGAGTGGGTGGCCTCGGAAAATCCAGGGTTTGAGCTGATTAACTCCAGAGTGTTGGGGTTGGTGGTGAGCCCCAACAAGGGCTGGGAAGCTTTTTGGCCCAGCTCTGGGCTGCTGATCTTGAAGCCAAGAGGGACGAGGAAGAAGGCTTCCTCTTACAAAGTGCTGATATTGGGGTTGTGAGAACGTAGGCATGACTCCACTAAGGAGACAGTGACCTCCCTTAGTGGAGTGACCTTACTGGAGAACTTGAAAGCTGCCACCCACACAATTAAAGCAGCATTTTCCCCGTTTCTCTAATGAGACCTATCCCAGAGTCTGGATGGATGAATTGCCAACTGCCCTGTCAGGCTTTAATAGGGTGGGGCAGGCAAGTGGTCTTCGTTGGCCCCCACCACACTCAGAACTACTTCTAGAAGCCTCCACCATGTCCCAGGTGGCCCTGAGTGATCTGCACCCCCCCCCCCTCCACCTTGCCTCTTGCTACTCTCCACTTGCTTATAGACTCATCACACCTGCCACACCAGCCCCTTAGCCATTACTTTGGGCATCTGCCTCATTTTCTCTGCAGGGTCTACACACTCGTCCCTCTGCCTGGCATGGTTCCTCCCTCCACACCCACCACACCCACCAAACTGCAGGGATCCCCTCCCTCTCTACATTTGGGGCCTTTCTGTAACTCAAGAAGCACCTTCTACCCTTTCACTCTTCAATCCCTTACTTCACTTCATCCCCTTCACAGTAGTTACTGCCACCTGCATTATTATCATATATCTTTGTTAACGTCCATCTCCCACCCAGCATGCAAGCCCTGCAAAGGCCCTCTTACGGAGCCCAGCACACAGCAGACACTCAATAAATGTGTGTTGATGACAGCAGCAGAGACACTGCTAATACCCACCCCCTCCATCTGCCTTGGACAGCCAGGCTTCTGTCCCTTCTGGTTCAGTCTTTCTTTCCTTCTGCAGAGGGAAGCCTGGAGCCACAAATAGAAGACCTGATTAACCGGATCAATGAGCTTCAGCAAGGTAAACTGGGACCTAGGCTGGCCCTGGACTTTGAATGCCTCCACTTCCTCATCTATAAAATCCAGGCCCCTCCAGGTTGTTTGTAGATGAGTGTGCAGTGTCACAAGCTGAGGGAGAGTAACAGGCTAGAGGCTGCATTCACACAGTGTCTTCTCCTGTTTTGTTTTTTGTTTTTTGTTTTTGCCCAGCAAAGAAGAAATCCAGCGAGGAACTGGGAGAAGCCCAAGCCCTCTGGGAGGCCCTGCACAGGGAATTGGACTCTTGTAAGTGAGACCAAAAGAAGGATCCAGAGATCCCATGACCACTGCTGGTGTTCCTGTGCACACCTCAGGGACTTTGCATGGGTTGTTCGCTCTATCTGCAATGCTCTTATTCTCCGCAATCCAGACTGCCTCTTGCTATCTCAAATCACCTTTCCGCTCTTAGCTCAAACTTCACCCAACAGGTCTATCTTGATGGTCCCATGTGAAAATAGAAGCTCACCTTCTCACTGTCATTTCACTCTTGCTTCATTTGTTTCTTCATCGTCTCTATTTTCATCTGACTTGGTGCATGTATTTATTTCTAGACATCTCGTCCCTCAGTAGAAACCCTGTGCATCCTGCAGAGGCATTTCTCGTATGGCATTTCTGGGAATGTGGGCACCGAGGGGGAGAAGCTGGATCAAGGTGGTGCCCAGTGGGAGTGGGTACAGGGAGGGATGAAGATACCTCTCTTCTCCTGGGGCTGTACCAGACCATCTGTGTGACCTTGAGCATGCCCTTTGCATGAAGTTGCAGTGGGGGCACAGGATATAGCCCCTTCCTTGGAGGCTCAGAGTGTCATTGTGTTTGTTTTCCAGTGAATGGAGAGAAAGTGCATCTAGAGGAGGTCTTGAGAAAAAAGGAAGGTATTTACCAGCTGCTGTGTCTTCATTATTTGTACCGCATCACCTTACAGAAGCCCACAATCCCTAGAACAACCAGAAGAATCCCACTGAAACGCAAGTCAGGGTGCTTCTCTCTCTGCTCAGTCTCTCCCTTGGCTGCCACCTGACTTGAAGCAATCACTAAAGTTCTCTTAATGCTCTTCAGTGCCCATCACCTCACCCAAGCCTGACTCCCCAAGAGCTCTCACAGGGCCCTCCTGGTTCTTCTTCACAGAAGCACTGAGGATCCTCCAGCTGCACTGCCAAGCAAAGGAAAGTGGGGCTCAGAGGTAAGAGATGCTGCCCAGCTCTTCCCCACCTCGTTCTCCTGCTTGAGGGAGGGGGGAGCAAGAGCTAGGGAACGCACATCTTGGACACACACTACTCTTTCCCCCTTTTTATAACACAGACTAGCTAGACAATGACCACTGTGCTCATCTTGGATGTTAGATAGTGGTGTTAAGATGAACTAACTCAGTTAATCATTCCTTACTAGTTTCTCTATAAATTTCATCCACTGGTGTTATTCTGTCTTATCCTATTGGTCATCCAGCTCATCTGCTGTCCATTCATTTGTTTATCTGTCTGCTCATTTAGCGCCCTCCCCCCAGTCATCCATTTACCCACATATCCATCTACCCACTCATCCACCCACTCACCCATTTATCCATTCACCCACCAATACATCTGTTCTACTGTCCAATTCTTCATCCAGTCAGCCAGTCACACATCATCTCTCCAGCCTTCCATACAATCATCTTCCATTTATTTAATCATTTATTCATCATCTCTCCATATTTCCAGTCATCTTCATCTAGCTGTTCATTTCTTCACTCAACCATCCACTCTGACATCTATCCATCCTTCCAGTAGTCCTTTTATTTCCCCACCCAGCCATCTCTCTCCACTCATCATTTCCCTCACCAGCCATCTTTTCAGCCAGACATTCACCCATCCAATTAACTATCCACCCAACCATCCATCCATCTGTCTCTCCATCATTTGAACCTTTGCTTAATCGTTCTTGTGACCCAAGGTGTCACACCCTGGTGTACCATGATTGTAATTGTGCAGGAAAACCTGGTAATGGATAGATAAAGTGTGTGTATGCTTAACTATGCCACATACACAGTTTGTTCATTTATCAACATAATCCTCACAATGACAAAGGAATTAGGGCTAATGTCACCCTTCCATTATTACGACCATTTTACATATGAGTAAACAGACCCAGCGAGGTTAAGTAACTTGTGCAGGATTACAGTAGAATAGCAGATCCAGGCTTTAATCCAGAACTTTAGAATCCATGAAACTAAACTAAGCATGATGAAGGTGATGAACATATACCCCTCAAACCACCACTCTTGCAGGAGGGAGTGGGGGTCATTCAGAGAATGATTGACGTTGTCTTTCCCTTCCCTGGAAGCAGGAGTTCATGGACCAAGTTTCCACCCATATCTCTCAGATTGAAGAGAGTTGTAAACAGAGGAAGCTGGGGTAACCCCTGGGGTCACCCCAGGTCTAGGCCTTGGTGTGGCACTAGGTAGGGGGTGGAGCTTGCATCAGGGAGAGTTTGTTGGAAGAGGAGCAACTGGAACCCAGGCTTGGAGGATAAAGCCCAGAAAGGGGCTCCTGACAGAGGGAACACTGGGCAAATATCTAAAGCCTGTGCATGAAGAACCCCTAGACTGGGCTGGGCTGTGTGTTCTCTTACTTCTGGGTGTTGGCCCCTAGGCCCCAAGTGGAAGAACAGCTGGACGATTTGATGGGCCAGCACAAGGACATCTGGGAATTCCAGGTGAGCCAACCAAAGTCCCTCCTCTCCTGGCTTCAGTGTCTCCAGTGGCTGCTCAGGTCCACCTACAGCTCAGGCCCAACTTCATGGAACAATCCTTGACCCCATTTTTTTTTGCCCATCCCCCAATCCTGCAGCTTTTACCTTCAATCTGGCCGTCTCTCACCATCCCTCACTGCCACACAGTTGCCCAGACTGTTGTAACCATTACTGCTTAGCTCCTGCTCACCTAGAGCGTGCTTACCTTGCATTGGCAAGAGGAAACCCTGAAAAGCCATGGTCAGGTTATTCCTTTATTCAACTAATGTCGCTGCATGCATCTTGCAGTATTGCAGGCAGGAGGAGACAGTAGGGGACCCCAGGGCCAGTGTCTGCCTGTCCTAGGATGGTTTGGGGCAGGGGGAGGCATACCCAGACTCTAAGAACATAAGCAAAATAGATCATGTAATATCAGGTAGGGAAGGCCTCAGCAAGTGACATCTGAATGCTGACACAAAGGAAGTAAGGGAGGAAGCCATGCAGGTATCTGGGTGCAAATGTTCCTGGCAGAAGGAAAGGTCAGTGTAAAGGCCCTGAGACTGAAATGTGCCTGGAACATTTGAGGAAGAGCAAACTGGAGGATGGACAGGGAGAATGAGGAGAGTGGCAAGACATGAGATTTGAGAGGTACCTGGGGACCTGGGAAGCAATTGGGAACTATATCTCCACCAACGCTCAGCCCCAGCAGAAACTGCACATTGACTTAATAAATGGTCGAAAGAATGAATGACCTAATTCAAATAAGGGCTTTCAGAGAGGTGCGAGGGGGAGGGGCCAGGAGTACAGGAGGACAGACAGGCCTCTTCTCTCTCCTCGCAGGTGCTGGAGCAGCGACTGGCCTGGGAGATCCGTGCCCTGCAGAGAAGCAAGGAGCAGCTGCTCACGGAAGGTGGGACTCCAGCGTGGGGTGGGGACGAGGGGGCGGGGCCGGCTCACCGGAGCTCCGGGCCCCGCCCATGACGCCCCGCCCCCGCCGCCCGTGCAGAGAACCTGGCGAGAGGCAAGCTGGAGCTGGTGGAGCGGAGGCTGCGCTCGCCGCCCGCGGTGGAGGGCGCCCCGGCCCTGCAGGAAGGGTGAGAGGGGCAAGGAGGCCCTGGCGAGAAGTGGCGCGGAGGGAGGAGGAAGGAGGAGAGAGGAGGGAATGGGCAGCCCGGCCCTCCCACCTCGGCCTCTGCAGGTCGCCGGGTCTCGGCAGCTTCCTCCCCGACTTCTCCACTCTTGCTCTCTTCCTCCTCCTCCGGTCTCCTCTGCCCCTTCTCCGCAGGCTGAAGGTGGAGCCGGAGAAATTCGGGGGGCAGGTTTCCACCCAGCCCCAGAGCACCTCAGATGACGGCGCCCACAAAGGAGAGGTCGGGAGCCAGGGATGGAGGCAGAGCGGGCCGGGATGTCCCCAGAGTCCCTCGGGGAGAGAGAGAGGGTCCGTGGGGAGCAGGGCACCCCCGGCGGTGACGGTGACAGGGCGAGGCGGCCGCGGGCCGGGCGGGCTGACTTTCTGCTCCGGCAGGCCAGCCCGGAGCTGCTGCGCGCCCGCCACGAGGAGGACCTGGAGCCGCCGGTGGACCGTGCCCCGACGCCCCGCTAGGCCGGTCGGACCCACCCGACCCCCACCTAGCTTCAAGTCCCGCGAGAAATAAAGGCAGTGCTTTCCGACGCCCCTCCACCTCGCTGAGTCTGTGCTTCAGGAGTCCCTGGGCGGGTGGAGGGGGCAGGGGCGGGGCCCCAGGCGCTTTGGGCGGTCTCGGCCGGACCCCGCCCCCAGGTCCGTGGTGGCTCCTGCAGAAACTCAATGCTGTAAAGGTTTCTGAGCAGTCCGTGAATAAGTGGGTGTCAAATCCACCCCATCCCCACCGCCGCATCTTGGGTTCCTGAACCGTCTGTTTTGCCAAGAGCAAGAGGGCACATGTTAAAAACCCACATCAGGTCCTGTTGGTCTCCTGTGGTTCAGCATGAATCCCAGAGTCCCTGCATTTCCCAGACTCCTGCCGCTTGACCTCTTGGACCTGTCATACCTGCCTGCCTACCTGGGCTCCCCCTCACCAGTTTCCACCCTTCTCCGAGCACGTTGTCATCTCAGAGCCTTTCCGCTGCTGTGTCCGCCTTTGGAGCGCTTTCCCTCAGGATCCTTGGGGCTTCTGCCCTCACTTAGCAGGTCTGTCAGCTGCTCAGGGCTGGCCTGGGGGGCCCAATTCCCAAAGGCACCTTGCACCAGGCCGCTGCCACTTAGTAAGCATATATTGATTAACCAAGCATTTGCTGGATGTCTGTTTTGTAGCAGATACTATTGTAGACCCCGGATTTTAGCTAGCATGGTCAGGGAGGGTCTCACTGGGGACCTGGTGAGTGGGGAGGGGTGGGGGCAAGTGAGGGAGTGGGGCATGTGGGTCTCTGGGGAAAGGTGCATCTGCAGAGGGCATGGTGCATGCACAGGCAGGGAGGGGTCTGGGCTTAGCTGTGTTTGGGGAACCCCTGGAGGAGACCAGCACTGTGGAGCACAGTGAGGTGAAGAGGGAGTGGAGATGATGAGGAAGACTTGCTGGGGACCCAGTAAGGTGGGCCTTGTCTATCTGTACAGTGTTCTGAGAACAGGACATGCACACACGCAGCAAGCACTCAGTAAATGTTGGCTATCACTTCTTACTATGACTCATTATTATTCCCAATCCATTAGTGAGGAAAACTCAGGTGTGTGAGTCACTTGGAACGGAGGCTTATAATCCATTGTTTAATAAATGGTTCATGTCATTTATTACTTTTTGTTATCATTATTCCCAGGGTACAGATGAGGAACACCAAAGTGTGTATTTCTCTTAGAACAGAGGTTGTTATGCAATAAATTCTCAATAAGTGGTACTCATCATTTATTATTCTCATTACTATTCTTGTTATTTCCAATGTGAGATGAGGAAAAGTGTGGCAGTGAGTGTACACTGCTAGCCCATAGTACACGTTGGGTCTCACCACTGTTGCTATTATTATCCCAGGTGCACAGATGAGGCCCAGGAAGCTTTATTACCCTGGCTCACACCTGGCCCAGCAGACCCCAGGCCTGGCTTCCCACCCCTGCCCACCTGCCTGAGGCCATCCTCCAGGAAACTTTAGTGTCTTCTTCATGATCTTCCCTGTGTCACACAACTGAGAATAAACTGAATAGTCCACTGAATCACTTCTAGGACTCAAATCCTGGCTTCCCTGCTCACTGACTGAGTGTGACCTCAAGGATTTGTTTAACATCTCCAAAACTCAATCACTGAATTTGTAAAATGCTCTTACACTGAAATTATTATAAACCTGACCAACTCCCCATTCCGCCTGAAACCTCCTCTGAAACCCTAGAGAAGCTGATTTGGCCCTCGGGTGGGTGTGGTGCCGCACAGATGGTTGGTGCACAGGACTGTCTCTCAGACCGAACTCAGAGAGGAGACTGACCACACCCACTTTGTCTCCCTGGGTTCTAGTAAAACACCTGCAAACAGGTGCCCCATCCAGTTATTGCCTGTGTGTTTTCGTGTGTGAAATGGCAGTGGAGTTCCTTGGATCTGAAGGCTACACGATGATTTATTGTTTGCATTTATCATCAGATAGAGCAAGAGGGAGAGAGGGGGAAGAGAGAGAGAGAGACACACCGAGTGATTGCCACTCACACAACACCAACCAGGGCCGGGGACAAACTGCAACCGAGGTATGTGCCCCCAGCAAGAACCGAACCCAGGACTCTCCGGTCCGTGGGCCGATGCTCTAACCGCTGAACCAAACCGGCCAGGATGATGGTTCTTACTCAACCATTTTCCTTCTTTCATCTGAAATCGGTTTATTCCATATTCCTGGAGTTCCCCCAAATGCTTACACTTTGGGTGATTACCCTTTTACTGCATACATTTCCCTCTCTCTCGTCTGCTTTTGAGTTAAGAGCAGTTATCAAGTATATTCCCCAGAAAGGAAAGAACCAAATGATGTTCTAGTCAGGGGATTTTTTTTTTTCAGCCTTTTAAAGTTTATTTAAAAGTTTATTTATTTGGGATTGTGGGTTTGGAAGGGGAGATGAAAAGGACAGGAGACTGGTATCTGGCAATGTGGAAGAGAATGTGAGAATTGCACATTTAAAAGACTAAGCCCTAGACTGGAGCAGTGCTGTCCATTACGACAGTTACTGGCCACGTGTGGCTACTGAGCACGTGCAGTATGGCTGATCCAAATTGAGGGAGGCATGCCCTGAGTGCAAATGCACACTGCATTTCAAAAACTGGGTACAGCCCTGGCCGGTTTGGCTCAGTGGTTAGAGCGTTGGCCTGCGGTCTGGAGAGACCCGGGTTCGGTTCCCGCTAAGGGCACGTACTTCGGTTGCAGTTTGTCCCCGGCCCTGGTCGGTCGTGTGGGTGGCAGCCACTCGATGTGTCCCTTTCACGTCGATGTTTCTCTCTCTCGCTCTCTCCCTCCCACTCTATCTGTACAAAAATTGCAAAAATGTCCTCGGGTGAGGATTAAAAAAAACAAAAAAAAACTGGGTACAAGAAAATGTAAAATATATCATCGGTAATTTCTATATCGATTACATGTTTACCTGATAATATTTTGTGAATAATTGTGTTCATAATACTTCATGACTATAAGGGCTTAAATAAAATTTAAAGTTAGTTTTGTCTTGTTTTTAAATTTTTAAATGTGGCTAGTAGAAAATTTTAAATTACATATGTGGTTCACATTCTATTTCCATTGGACAGCACTGACTTGAATAGAGGGTGCTGAAGGCAACGGGGCCTCTCCTGTGCTCCTGGCCCCTTAGTAGCCGTTATCTGCATGCAGGCCACGTAGTTCCTGGACCATCTAATGTCCTGATCTCACTTGATCCCCCTGGTGCCATGAACTCAGTGTTGAAGAATGGAGCTGCAGTTTTTGTTTTTTGTTTTTGTTTTAATCCTCACCCGAGAGTATTTTTCCATTTATTTTCAGACAGAGAGAGAAACATGGATGTCAGAGAGGCATCGACTGGCTGCTTCCTGCACAAACCCGACCAGGGCCGGGGACTGAACCCCAACTGAGGTATGTGCCCTTGACCAAAATTAAACCTGCAACTCTTTGGTTCGCAGGCCGACGCTCTAACTACTGAGCCAAACCAGCCAGGGCTGGAGCTGCAGTTATTAAAATTGATTCTGAGATGGATGGACATGTCTGCAGGGCACACATACAAGCATCTGCATCCCGATCCCTTCTCTGTGCATGTATCTCAATTTGTGGATGAAGAGATCACATAGTCTTGCATTTCAGAAAATGTTCCAAAAAGTGGATTTGCAGGACATTATTTGGAAATTCTCACTGAAACCAGGTTTCCTCAGTAGTTCAAGCAAAGGTGCTTCCAGAATGCTTTTAACTCAACTGTCGTGCTGCCAAAACTGTTGAAATGGCTGTCAAGGAGCAGGGTAATTACGTGCTCTTAAAGTTATAACCACAGAACTTACATGCATGTATGCATAACCGATGGACATAGACAACAAAGCTGGGGATGGGGTGGGGGGGGATGGGGAGGAGGGTGTCAATGGGGGAAAATGGAGAAACATCTGTAACAAAAATAAATTTTAAAAAAAAGTTATATCCTACAGTTTATTTATTCATACTGAAAAAGAATATGCCTTTGCGGTGGGGAGATGAGAGGGCCCTGAACCAGGGCCAAGGTTAGCATTACCAGTTGGGGGACAGTTTGACCTTATCTTCCTGTTGATGTGATGAGTGAGAGACACATTCATTACCAATGTGGGGCTCTTGATGAAAATGTTTAACTTTAACCAATAGGATACTGACACAGTGAGAAGTTCCATGGGACAATTGCCCTGGAAACCAGAAAGGAGTCACTGTCGTGAAGAATAGAAGAAAATGTCCGGCCAGTGTAGCTCAGTGATTGAGTGTCAACCCATGCACCAAGAGGTCACCGATTCGATTCCCGGTCAAGGGTCATGTCCAGGTTGTAGGCCCTATCCCCAGTGGGGGGCATGTAGGAGGCGGCCAATACATGTTCTCGCTCGTCGATGTTTCTTCTCTCACTCCCTCTCACTTCCTCTCTTTCTAAAATCAATAAAGGAAAAAATAAAAAAAATTTTAAAAAAGAACAGTAAGAATTCCTATTACTGTGGTAACAAATTACCTAAATATGGCGGCTAACCAATATAGATGTATTACCTTACACTTTGGAGGCCAGAAGCCTCAGTTCCGGAGGACTTACCTTACAGTTCTGGAGGACTAAAACCAAGGTGTCATCAGAGCTGTGTTCCTTCTGAACGCTCTCAAAGAGAACCTATTCCTTACCTTTTCCGGCTTCTCAAGGCTGCCTGAAATCCTTGACTCATATCACTCTGACCTCTGCTTCCATCATCACATCTCGGTGACTCTCCTGACTCTCTTTGGTAAGGACCCTTGTGATATGTTAGACAGCCCAGGAACATCCAGCTCAAGATGTCTTCACTTCCTGTGTTCAGTGCCCATTTGTTCTCAGAACTTTGCTTCTTTGTGACTCAGCATTGCCAAAAGATGGAAGGGTATGCTTGAAAGACCTGAGCTCGAAAGAAACCAACTGTAAAAACAGGAGCCCGAGGA